TTTGTAATTGTGTGGGTCAAACCTGCTCCGTCAACATAACACAGAGGTTTTAAAAAAAGCTCCTTCAGCTGTCAGATGTGGTGTGGCAGTGTTATTGATCAGGAGAAACGAGGACTGAAGGTTACATCCTGCCTTCCTGTGTGTTTATTTAGCCTACAGTGAGAGAGAAAATGTCCTCCGAATGCCAATTAAGCCGGTGATGGTCAGATCATTGTCACGGCGCGCTGATGACTGGCAGGCCTGACATGCCGGCTGAGCGGTGCATGTGGTTCCTTTAATTAATTGCCAGAGGCTCGGATACACGTGGGCGGACTGAGCGAGTATGGTTGTCGACGGAGAGCAGAACTCACGCTTCATATCATTCTGTGTGAAACAAAGGGTGAGAAATGTAGGCAGAGTGAAGCTTCGCTGCTCTCTGACAGAATGAAGTGTTTTTTTTCCTGCGCGATTGATCTCCCAAGTACAATTTGTTGGTTTCTGTAGAGCAATTTGTCTATGAGCAAAATGTACAGCATTAATCAGAGGGTAAGTTATAGGTTAGCTTTTATCTCCCTGTTACAGTGCGTGTCTGTATTTGCACCAGTGGGCCTCTGCAGCGATATGTGTCCCAGGGGTGGCAGCCAAATGTAGGCACCAAAAGTCAACATTAGCATTTCAGAGGCCCATCTATTTCAATTAACTCGATCTTCTTTAAGATTTCCCAGAAATACCCGGGAGCCCGAAGCAGTATCAGGCATTGGCGGGCTCCAGGGGTGGGTTGCCATTTCAGAGTCTTTATGCATCACAAATTTAAATTCATTATCCTCCATAATTAAAGCAAATATATCAAAGACTGCTAACACTGCAGCGATACTGTCTGTGATCTCCAGGGGGACCGAGGCTCAGGCCTGCAGCCCTGGTGGCTTCTAAGATGTTCAAACAGACAGATATATAAATATAGCATCTTGTTAAACGCATCCTCAGGGTCCCCTTTAATAATTTAACCCCAAAACAGTGAGCCATCTCAGCCTACGTCATTGTCGTTTTCTGGGGAATTATAATAGCCACTCTGATGGTGGTGACATCATTTTTAGTGGCAATACAGTGCTTTTTCACGGGTAGAAAATTGTATAATACTTCTGTGATGCTTTCAAAGGAGAATTAAGAGTGTGTCTGTGGTGCTACTCAGAGAATTAAACCTGACACTACCATAATTGTTGGTATATTTCTTCTCCTTTCAGGTATATAGCAGTATTCTAGTCTAGCTTTTTAAATGGCACCCTTTTTATTTTTGATCATATTTATCCACAGTGCTTTATGTTTTAAATGGGTTATATGCCTCAAGGCAAAATAGTATTAAGCCTTGCCTATGCTTGAGTGATAATTGGTACAAATAAGGCCAATCTGTCCTAACATGACTTTTCAGAGGAAACATTTCTTTAGAGAGCTGTCTGAGCAGCCACACTGCAAGAAATGTCAACAGCAAAAGGTCATTAAAGATAAAATAGCACTTTTAGATTACGAAAGAGAAGCTACACAAGGCACTGGGATATGTTTCCTCTGGTTTGAGGCCTTTGAGCTCATGGGACTCGTATGGACTCACTTTGAAAGCCATGAAATACCTGCACCAGCAAAGGGGATTCTCAAAGGGATCATAGGGGATGATCAGCTTGTGGGTGACAACGGTGACCCCTTGGCTAACCTGAAGGGCAACCGGGGGACCAAATGGACATTTCGGGTAGATTTAGCAACAAGAAAGGACGGGGGTGACCAGAAGGACACTTGGACCAAACACAAAGGCAATAGAGTGGTTCCAAAATGAATCCTAGACACGGAGATTAGTTAGCATTTTTTCACTTCCGTGTTCCCACGCACAAGTCAATGTTTTTTTGAAATTGTTTTTGCTTAGATGCACGAAATAAGGTCTATGGTTAACACAAGCCTCGGATTGATTGATTGAAAAGTTTATTAACAGCTTGTATATTGGGTACAGTACAGTACAGCTCAAAACATACAATTGTTAAGGGGATGCAGACCAGAGAAAGACTTTCGTCTTGTTTACATCAGGGTCCCCCATTTCCAATTCATCATATCATTTAAGACATATAAGACATATTTGACATGCAGATGGCTTATTTACAATTTACATACAGTTGGTTTTTTACATACAGATGGCTTATTTACAATTTTCATTTTAGATTTCGTTCTAATACATCCTAACCGGACATTTAAGACATACCAAGTCTACAGATATACAGTTAGTAACAGAGTCTAAAATGCGAGTATATACATAGATGGGGGGGGGGAAGTTGTCCATTGTACGACAGGTTGAGATTTGTACCATTACCGGGGCCAGTTTTGCAATGCTCTCCCCCGAAGGTGCTCTTTAAGAGAGGTTTTGAAGGTAAGTATAGTTTTACTTTCACTTTCCTTTACATTTGTGGGAAGAGCGTTCCACCTTGATGTGGCATAATTGCGAAACGTGTATTCCCCCTTTTTTGTGCCAAATCTGGGTTTTACATGATTTGTGGAGCTCCCTCTGGTGTTATGATCATGGTATTCCTTGACCTTTGGGAAGAATTTTGACATGTACATGGGTACCATAGAGGTGTAGTGGATCTTGTAGACCAGGCCCATTGCAAGTAGCTGTACTCTGTCGTCTACTCTAAGCCATCCTAGGTTGTCAAAGTGGGCAGAGGTGAGGTGGGTTCTAGATGAAAGGTCAAGCAGTAGTCTGACCAGTTTATTTTGCGATGTTTGAAGTTTTATTTTTAGCGCCTTGGAGGTGCTATGGTACCATGACGTGCAAGCATAGTCATAGTACCCTTGAATGAGTGCTCCTGCCAGAGTTTTCAGGGTGCTTTTGTTTACCAGAGAGGAGATCCGGTATAGGAATCTAGTTCTTTGATTGACTTTTTTTATTACATTGGATGCCATTTTGTCACAGGAGAGGTTTGCCTCAAGAATAGATCCTAGGTATGTAATTTCCTTCTTACTAGTGACAATAATGTCACCCACTGCAACTAAGAAGTCGTCGGATTTGCTGAGATTATGTTTAGAACCGAAGAGAATGGACTCTGTTTTACCCAGGTGTAATGATAATTTATTATCGGCGAGCCAGGTGCAGATTCTGCCGAGCTCGGAGCTGAGTGTTTTTTCAACCTGCAATCTGCTCCTGTCAGAGACCAGCAGGGCTGAGTCGTCCGCGAACAGGAACAAGTTGCAGTCACATGCTGATGACATGTCATTTGCATAAATTAGGAACAGTAACGGACCTAATATGCTTCCTTGTGGAACACCACAGCTCACTGGGAGGGGGGGGGACAGAGTACCGTTTACCTCCACCATCTGTTCTCTCCCCTCCAGGTAGGATTGCATCCAGCTCACCGATAGTTTATCAAAACCAATTGCTTTTAGCTTGTCAATCAGAATGGGGTGATTGACAGTGTCGAAAGCCTTTTGTAGGTCCAGCATCACCATGCCGCAGTATTTACCCTCGTCCACCTCTTGTTTGATGTGGTCGTTCAAATAAAGAAGGCATGTGTCAGTGGAGTGGGATGTTCTAAAGCCAGATTGAAATTGGAGATATTTTTGTTTTTTTCTACGACCTTAAATATGTCGGTAAATACCTGAGGTCAGAAGCTTTAACATGTTTTCAAAAAGGCGGTTGCTAACAAGTGAATAAACAAGACCACTTAACATGTTCACGCCAAACATTTGTTGCCTGAAGGTCGATGTACGTTTTTTTAGTTTGATCGCCCAAAACAAAATATAAAACAAAAAAACCTAAATGGAATGCTTTAGTGTGATGTCATGCAACCAGAGTTGGGTGTAACGCGTTACTTTTATAATTCAGTAATCACACTACAGTTACTAACATTGCCCCGACACGCGTTACTTCGTTACTTTTATAAAATCAGTCATAATCACACTGACAGATAAGAGGGGTTTCCGCCGCAGGTTTATATGTACGTAATCTGCGCGACTTGCGCGTCCACATCTCCACGTGCAGTGCTGCATAAACATGGCTGAGTCAGCGATAACTTTCGAGGGGTGGAGGTATGCCCATTATTTTGAGTTCGTCCGAAGAATAGACAGGAATGTGACGGTGAGGTGCAAACTGTGTCCAGGCCAGAAGCTGTTATACACTGCTGCAAACACCACGTCAAACCTCAACAAACACCTGCAAAGAACACATGCTAAGGTGAAGCTAATAGCTAAGGACCGGACCCCCGAACCCAGAGTGAGGATGTTGTGAGTGCGCCACCGCCGACTCCGAAGCAGCACAAAGTAGAATTTGGAGGACCGGTAACCAAAGCAGAGATGGACAGGCTTGTAGCATCCTTCATAGTAGAGGTAATGTTGCCCATTTGCACAGTGGAATCACCATCGCATCGTTCAGAGATATACTGCGCAAAATACAGATAGCAGGAGACTGAGGACAGCCATAGTCAGAGCTATCTGGATCAGTCTTATGCGACAATGGAAACTGAACTAAAGAGAACATTTGAAACTTTAGCAGTCTGCGTGATCTGCCTGTAGGGAGGGGCGGGCCGGCCCTGCGAGTAAAGTAACGAGTTACTTTATGTAGAGAGTAACGAAGTAGTGTAATATATTACTTTTTTTTAAAAGTAATATGTAATATGTAATATATTACTTTTTTTTAGTAACGACCCCATCTCTGCATTCAACCATGATGTATTTTGTTTGTAGCATTCTGTTAGCTATTTACTTCTGAAGGGGGCATTTGGGTAACCACAGGGGAAAGTGGGGTAACAAGATGGGGGCACCACGTGGGCCTCCCGCGTGCAGGACATGCGGTGCCCCTCTGCACGCGCCTCTGTCGCCACTTTTAAACTGTGCCAGGGACAAAACCATGTGAGCAGGATGGACATTTTTTGCAGTGCGGAGCTCAGCGGTGCGGCAGTAGCGCTGTCTGCTGGCTCGGGTCTGCTCACCGCCGGCTAGACTCACATCACATCCCACCCCCAGCCTGTGGTGACACGGTTTCATCCTCTGCGAAGCCTGTAATGTGTGGTTTTCAACAGTGAGAGGGCGTACGCTTTCAGAGGGAGGCCGAGCCTGTAAAGCGGCAGTGGGAGGGCTTCTCCGTGTTTTCGCTGGTTTTAAATATAGGAAGAGAGCAGCCTCGACGCCCACCGAACAAGGCGAAGCGCGCATCAACATTTCGCCACCGCCGCTGCCCTGATTAGATCCACTGAGAAGCGGAGGAGAGCAGACACCCACAGACAGACAGGGAGGACTGCTATCTTGCTGGAACTAACACAAGGTGAGCTCCACATTTCTCCTTTAAAAAATGTGCATGTATTCTATGGAGTCTGGCAGGCGAAGCATTGAGGAAACACAACAAAGTTCTTTCCGATAGGGTTTTGCTTTGTTTGGCTGTGAAAAGGTGGCAGCCGCATCCTCCTGTTTGGCTTTGTCTGCACACTTCTGCATGGGCATTGTGTCAGTCAGGCAATACGAAATGCATGAATGTACCATTTATTTATCACACATATTAGAGTCTGCACTTACAAAAACGCTCCTTTTCATTGTTTTTTGTTTTGGAGGATTTTGAAATTTGAATTCCCATTCCTTAATTTCCTGACATTTCACATTTATTCATAATGGTCCACAGGTATTTTGTACTGCTTTATCTGAATCCTTTGTTGCTTCACTATCAGACGTCCTTTGTGTTATCTGAATTCCTGTAGCTCCACCACACATTTCCCATTTTCTCTCTAATGTCATTGACACCCATTGTTACAGTGATTTGTTCAAAACCAATAAGGTTAACTTTCAGATGAGATTTACCTTACTCTTGCAATCCTACAAACAAGAATGTGTACTTTTTGTGGGATAAAAACACTTTGGCCTCCTTCTATGTCCTATGTTCTTTTTAGGGTATATTATTTTGTAAAAAAAGCATCTTTCCTGCTGCCTCCTGTAGTGGGGAGTGCAAGGCGATAATGAAATGTAAGTGGCTTACTTCCTCTCCCCGGTGTGTTTTCAGTTGCACAATAAGAATTGATAAGTGCTCCTGCTGAGCCGTCTATGTTCTGCCTGAAGAAAGAGCTTGTTGTTGTTTTCAGTTTTGTAAAATGCAAAAAAAGGAAGGAGTCCAAAGAGGATTCCCAGCTATCTAAATTTGAAGTTTGGTTGCTCTCTGTAAACGCTGCATTCTTCTTTTCTCATTAAAATTCTTCTTCTTCCTCCATGAATTAGAAAAAGCCCAGTAATCCCCCTGCTTCTTTTTTTTGTTGTAATGCCTGATTTGCTGCTGCTGGACTTCATCCAACATTTAGGATGTGTCAACTCTCACTTAATTCTCTGCTAACTTAATTGCCTGCAGGATTACTGCGTTAGAATGAGAGTTTATGTCAGTTTGATTTCTTGTTCTGCTAGCTGTAAACCTTGACTGCCTTCTGGGCTCTTTCCTCCTTGTCTATAAAACCATTTCCCGCATCTTTTTTTGTCCCACAGTACACTGATGATCACAATCAATAGAAGACAATTGTGTTATGCATAGGCAGTGTATGCGTGCTAAACACTGTATGGATTGCAGCGTGTATTGACGGGTCTAATTGAATATCTAGGTGTGTTGCTTGGACAAAACAAGGAATTTGAAGAGTGATTATTGCCAGATTAACCTGTTTTGGGGGGAGCTTCGAGCACCCACTTTAAAGGGGCACTCCACCAATTTACATATTCAATTCAATGTAATCATTACATTACATTACATTGCATTTAGCTGACGCTTTTATCCAAAGCGACTTACAATAAGTGCATTCGACCAAGAAGATACAAACTTGAAGAAAACAGAATCATATAAGTACATCAGGTTTCATAGAGCCAAAACATTTCAAGTGCTACTCAACTGGCTTTAGATAAGCCAGTCCTTAGTTAGTATATAAGTGCTTTGTTAGTAATTTTATTGCTCGAAGTGGAGTCGAAAGAGATGAGTTTTCAGTCTGCGCCGGAAGAAGTGTAAGCTATCTGCTGTCCTGATGTCAATGGGGAGCTCATTCCACCATTTTGGAGCCAGGATAGCAAACCGACGTGTTTTTGCTGATGGGAACTTGGGTCCCCCTCGCAGTGTGTGTGCAGGGAGCCGTTTGGCTGATGCAGAGCGGAGTGCACGTGCTGGGGTGTATGGTTTAACCATGTCCTGGATGTAGGAAGGGCCAGATCCATAATCATCTGTGTATGTTGTCACGGCTTTGGCTTGAGAACGTTTTTATAAAAGCTTAAAGAAGTGTAAATGGAAGGGCGTGGACATTTACAAACCTTGAACGGTTTAACAAAAGATGCTAGTGAGTTGCATTATGGGAAATGTCATATCGTGAAATTGTCATTACATACAACCCTTGTTTGGTTGTGGAATTTTGGAGATCTTCATCTCTTATCCAGTGTTCAACAATTGATTTATGTCAATATGTGTATTGGGTTTACTCAATAGGGATTAGTGTTGGTGACTCACAAGGAGACGATGTAACAAGTCAAGCCTGCACAATGTTGTACGTCCAGTATTTAGAATATTATTATTGAAGGGATGGTTTACATTCCTGCAATTGCCAAGTTCCCACTGGCTGATTATATCCTCTAAAAACAACAGTCACATGAATCCGTAAGATGCTTGTTTTTTGGACGGAGTTGAGGGTGACCTGTCAACCTGCCAGGTTAGAGAATTTGGCAGCGAGACGGCCAGTCATAACAAAACTAATAGCACTCTGCACTTTAGAGGAACGAGATGGATTTGTTTGTACAGTTTGGGATTAGAAACTGGATCTTTGTTTTAAGCAAAAATGTAGAATACTGAGAAGAAGAAAAGGTCCAGTGCTACAAAGAAAATATCTATCTGTTATTCAAATGAATCCGTTTTCTCAAGTTGTTTGAACAAGATATGGAACTGAACATACGTAATACTAGGAATCTCTTTGATTCTTTATGTTGGTATTATTAGGAGTGGTCAAAATAACCTGAATGCTATCAGGCCCTGCAACCAGTCCAACCATTTGAAGGTTAACATGTTGAGACTTTTCCTACTTGGAGGCCATTTTAAAGACAAATAACTGTTATAGCCATTGGTTTACACAGGAGAAGCTCCAACTCCTGGCCAACATTAAGTGGACTCTTGTGTTGGGATTTGTAGTCCAATGAAAATAAATCTTTATGCGATGAAATCAAATCTGGAGGATAGCCTGATAAGGGTTGAGCCTGTAGTCATATGTATTTTTGACCTTATTTAGTGACAAATAACAGATTAAAATGGATAGAGAAGGCAAAGTACCCCAGTTGACCTATTTTCCTCCAAGGTGCAGCCAAGATGTTTTACATTGCAATATATTTTGTCTACTTTAAATCAACCTTTTTATTTTCTATGGTAAAAAAACAGCAGCAGAAGGGATGAGATTTCAAATTAAAATAACCAAGTTTAACAAAGAGGGATATCCCTGCTTTTATTTTCATGCAGTTTCTTGAAAGAAACAAACAGATTATGCAGATTGATAGCATTTAGCTGCTGCAGCCAGTGATTCTCAGGAGGAATATGTCACCCCATATCACCTACACTTACCTATATTTACTTTACTTTTATCTAACAGCTGCCTGATACCTTCTGTGAGCAGTCAGATGGAATGAAGGTAAACATTGCCTGTGAGTTTGCTGAGGCATGGTTCTTTAGACACGTTCACAGGCACAGCTTGAATTTGTCCTTAAGAGCTTAAGTTGTCCTGGCATCTTATTCCAGCCTTTCTCTATTCCTCTTACTTTGGAGGCGTGTGATATATTTTGAAATGTGATGCTGGGAGTTTGGCAACTGAAATAATCTCAGCTTTGTTATTTGTAAAAATGAAACGGGCACATTCATTTGATTTCATTCTTTCAAGAGTTGAATGATGTCATAAGAATTAGCATTTATAAATGAGTTTGGTTTTTAAAACTGAAGGATGATTCTTTATCAATTTTCTGCTCAAATGCATCTTCTCTGTGAGGCTGTCTTAGACATAATGGTGCTTTTAAATGCTAATGTCAGCATGCTCACAATGGACCCCTGTCTTCACTTTTCATAACCAGACATAATGTATTTTTATGATGTCCTTTTTGTAGTATAGAGGCACTTAGATGCTTCTAGAGCTAGCCTTCTATCCATAGTCATAACAGTTATTTTGTTGGCCTAGCATTAATGTTGCCATAACTTGATTTTCCTCAATGTAGCCGCTTTATGCTAAAACAAAAATGTATGACCCCTACATTAGGCCATCTCCACTGAGTTGGTAATGGACTGAGAAATACTGTTTAGGGTTATTTATTATATTTAAAACAACTTTAAGAGCGTTATGTTCTGGGTTAGACTGGAGCACAGCTGGGTTAACCGGCTTAACCCTCAAAAAGTGTGATTTGAAAGTCATGATTTTCTGCCACGCTAGCACCTCCTGGGCTTCTCAATGCGTCACATTAAATAAATATGACACGTTGTTCATTAACTAGATCAATGAGTTCACGTTAGCCTCAGATTGAATATGTCCAGCTGATGTTGATGTCAGCTGATGGAGGATTCACCGCCTGCAGGATTAGCCCACATTCTCCATCAACAGATATTTCTGCCCTGCGCTGGTTGTTTCTGTAACCTCTCCGGGGACGTACAGTCCAGATCCGCACACCCCCCTCCATACATCATTTCCCACTTTATTCTACTTTCCATTTTCCAAAACTGCACCTCGGCTGTCTCCTCTATTAATTTCCCCTCTCCCTAGACAGTTGGCAGGACTGCTTCCACCTTTCCCTCTGCTTCATTTGCATCTTGGCTCCACACGGTTGCCCAAGTGCTTTCTGGGAGTCAGGTGGCTAATTGGTTCCCATCTGTTGGGAGAAAGCGGCCTTCACGGATCCTGGGTAATTTGTGTCAGGAGTTTTGCCGTATTAATTTAGTTTCTTCCCTCCCTGTTTTACTTTTCTTCATATTGTCTCAGCAGGTGAGCATTGAGGTGTAGCTTTGACATCTTCGTGGTTGCTCAAACGCAAGACAGCGCGTTTGAGAAGCTGTTGGAACAAAATGTGTGCACAAAATGCATTATTTAGTTTTTATCGTGTTACTGTGTCATTTGTGAAGCTTCCTGAGGCAAGAGGAAGGATAGCAATGTAGTCATATCTGTATTTTGCAGCCACTTTTATTCTGATCTGCAGCGCTCTTCTGCTCTGAACACATACCTGCACTTCCTGCAATCTGAAGGTTTAATTTCACAATCACTTATCTGATGCACAAGTAGCTTTCTGTGTAAAGATAAA